CCTAATGATGTGCAAGTTCCTCCCTCACATTTACAAGTGTTTGTCTCTGGAGTGAGTCTAAAAACAGAGATCCCCTCTATCTCCATCTCTTCAGAAGATCAGGGATGGCCATATGGCAACCCAGGGACCATATCTGACCCACAGCAACCCTTCCAGGTTCTTAAATCAGAATACAGTAGGTTTGCTGACCTTTTACTCATGATGTTTGTTTTCTAATATATGTTCTTTTTCTAACACTGAGGGCCAGTTTGGCGTAGTGGTTAGGAGTGCGGACTCTAATCTGGGACAACCGGGTTTGATTCCCCACTCCTCCATATGCAGCTGCTGGTGTAACTTTGGGTCAGTCAGTCATAAGTTCTTTCAGAGCTGTTCTCTCATGAGCAGTCCTCGAAAGAACTCCCTCAACCCCACCTACCTCACAGGGTGTCTGTTGTGGGAAGGGGAGGGGAAAGGAGATTGTAAGCCACTTTGAGACTCCTTCGGGTAGTGAAGGTTGGGATATAAATCCAATCTCTTTTCTTCTTCTTCTTCTTCTGTGAGATCTTTGGGTGTTACACGGAATGTCCAGCTATGTCCCAAGGTTACACCAGTACAAACTGTACAGTCAAGCTGGCAGCCTCTATAAAGCAAAAGGTGGTCCCTGGTCACTGTCTGGAGTAATTACTGCTATTACCCCTTGACAGTGGGACAAACTAGATGTTATTTTTTAATGAGGCAGGAGGGGATGTGTTTGCCACACTGGGAGTAGGTTGCACGTGTACCGGATACTGCATGTGTACACTCCAAGGAGCAAATAACACCTCCCCAGGCCCATTTTGGGTTGGGAAAATGGCATGGGGGGCATGAAACCTCTCCTTCCCCACATTGTGGTCTCAATCTGAATCAGGACCCTGCAGCCTCTTGCTTAATTAGTTCTTCACAGGGGCCATTTGGCTGTGGGACATGTCAGTGGATCAGTGGAACCTACACCTAACTCATTAAAAAAAGTAATGTTTAACTCAGCCAAAAAGACTAAGGGATTATAATTCCAAATGAGGAGATAGATCTATAGTGTACCACTGCATATGGGAACTTGCATACTGAATACACCTCTGTGTAAAACACACACACAGCCCTCCTCATAGAAAATTACCATGTCATGGCAAAGGCATCTAGGCTCCTCCCCTTCCCACACTCCAATTTTCTACACTGAGAGAATTCTTGCTCAGAAAAGCATTCCAGTGTTCAAGTACAGTGGTCTGAAGTAGCACAACTGCCTCAGTGAGAACGAACCCAGGCTCCAAGAGAACTGGTGACTGAGACTCTAACCAATATCAATCCTGCACACTGAAGGCAACCAGCTCCCATGAAAAATAAGACTCCAAGTCACAAAATGCTTTCAAGTTGTAGACAGTCTAAGGAATCCCTAGTCCTGCAATTAGGTTTTGTGTTGTGTAACATTTTGGACAGCACTGGAAAGTCCAGGCCACAATCTGTAAAATCTGAGGGGAAACGTCATTCTATTCTGGCTGAGCTATAAAGAGAAAATAAAGAGCCGTACCAGTCACAGGAGATTAATTTTTTTTTTGGAAATTTAATTGAGTAATAAAGTATATTTTTACCTGATTTTGCACCATTGGCCCTGGCCCCATTTTTTTTTTTAATCTCCTGAGCTATAAAGAGCACATTTCCACCTTAATCAACAACTGGCTACAGTTTTTGTCTGGATTACTTTTATCAGAAACTTTGCAGTGAGGGGGGGAAAATTCCCAGAGTTCCCAGAATCAGATAGCATCAGAATGGACCTGTTATTTCACCCTCCACCAATCTTGGCTCCTCAGAGCAAACACCTTCCACATTCCATTTCACGCACATACACACACCACTAACTTTGTTTTGCCCATACTGTTTCCTGACTGGCTAGATATGAGACCAGTAGTACCTTGGAGGACAAGGAGATTTTTTGGGGTATAAACTTTTCAGAGTCCAAGCTTCCTCCATTAGATCAGACGAAAGGATCTTTGACTCTCGAAAGCTTACACCCTGGAAATCTTGTTGGTCTCTAAGGTGCTACTGGACTTGAATCTAGCTGTTCTACTGCAGACCAACACAGCTAATTCTCTGAAACTGTTCCCTGATTATAGCTTGAGTATATTTCTTATTTAATCCATCTGTTATATCTGCTTGTAACACTATTGGCAGAGACAGGTGGAACCTGACCAGGTTGAGCCCAGGCTAGGGGTGTGCAAAAAAATAATAATAATTCATTTTCTTCCCGATTCGGGTCTATTAGACCCCAAAAATATTGCTATTCCCGAATATTCTTGATTGAATCCCAATGTTGGTATTGTATTGGGATTCGGGTAAATATTCAGGAAACCCGAATTTATTCGGCTCCATTATACCCTATGAGGACCGTTGCCATAGGGTATAATGGAGTTCAGAAAGCATTTAAACTTTAAATGCCTTCAAGCCACACCTGAATAAAAGCCAAATAATATCGGCTTTTATTCAGGCATGGCAGATTCTCTAATCTGATTTGGCTGAATAAATGCCCGAAAAATACTGAAGGTATTTTTCGGGTATTTATTCAGCTCGGTATATACCGAGTGCACATCCCTAGCCCAGACCACTGAACCAATTGGAACATACAACCTGTCCACGTAGCCTCCAACCCACACATGCGCACAATGCTCATCTGCTTCAGCACCACATGCGCACAATGCTCTCCTGCCTCAGCACCACATGCTGGGGCACACTTAGTAGGACTGGTGGCCTTTTAACCAAAGAGTTCCTTAAAGCAATGATTTGCAAGCCCTTTTCTGGCAAACACTAGAGTTTCTTGACAGTCACATGGCAGATGTGAGTGTTAAGGACCACCAAGTCACTTCCAACTTATGGTGCCCTATGAATTAATAACCTTCAAAACATCCTGTCATTAACAGCCATTCTCAGGTCTTGCAAACCAAAGGTCAGTGGCTTCCTTTATTGAGTCAATCCATCTCATGTTGGGTCTTCCTCTTTTCCTACTGTCTTCAACTACATATGTGGCAGGTGCGCAGAAGTCTTTAGCAGACTAATATCTGGAGCATTTTGCATCTAATATCAGGCATTTCATGCAGCTAAATTTAACTTTCCAGTTAGTTCTATATCTGAACAACTTTTCCATTTGTCAGCAACCAGATCCCCATTAACAAGAGGACGTCCAGCTAATTCTTGTCCCTTAAAAATGTGAAGGAAGTAGAGACATTAATGTCTTCACGTAGAATATGGGCTAGGTCCACATGGTACAGAACAAGTAGCCAGGCTTACGGAAAAATCTATCATGTATTTTTTGTCTAAAAAAAGCACAGGCCACTCAAGCAATACATGTTTTTCACAGTGAAAACACTACTGGTTGAGAAATTCACACTGCCATCCTAAGGAGAGTTATACCTTCCTAAGCCCACTGACACCAATGAACTGTTTAGGATGGTACCGTCAGTAATGGAAGATGAGTTTCTCTAAAAGACTCTGCCTACCATGACTGAACTTCCCTCACAATGGGCAGCTACCAGATGCCTTTTAGAGTGCATTCCCAGAGCACGTAAGTTGACAGCAAACACCTGAGGAGTGCCCTATGTGAGGTTGTTAAAATATTATTCAACTGACAGGGTTCCTTGAGAGGCCAATGGAGGTAAAAAAGGCTTCCTCTACAATAGAAAATGTTTTTTGGGGGGACACTGCCTTGAAGTAAAAAAAGGTGAGCAATCACTCCACCTGCTGACACGTAGTGGGATAATCACACAGTGCAAACTGCAGGCTGTTTGAAGCAACTGAACGAGTGTTGAGAGCATTTGCAGGGTTGGAGGAAAATATATCAGAGGAACAGAAATTGCCAGGATGGCCTCGATTGGGTCTAAAGAAGCCAAACGGTCACTGAAAGGGATTTAACAGCTGCTGCAAAGCTGAAAAGCAACAGGAGCCAAAACAAAGTGAGGCCCGCTTTTGAGCAGGGAAGGGGAGAGGGGGGCTGCAGTCCAGTGGTAATCTCTCTGCCCCTTGATGCAAAAGTCAGTCCAACTCTAACCTTGTTTACAGAATTGTCAAGTTGAGGTACCAGTGAGTGTCGTCAGGGGACCCCCCCTGCCCAGAGCAGGGCCCAGAAGCCATCCTCCTTACCCCACTGTGCCAGCTTGCAAGCAGATCTGGCCTGACCTCTGTGCACTGTAGCACCACCACAACGGGTGGCTGGTGGGTGGCACTGCAGTTTTCAGCCAGGCAGAAAGCCAGGTGTCTCAGACTGGGGAACCCATTGCTCAGGAGGAAGATGAGCTCATTTTCATCTGATTCCCTGCTGAACCACCAACCATTGGTCTTACTTATTGAATGAATGGTTCACAAACAAACAGAAGCACAAACACACCTCTGAGAACACCAACACTAACATCAAGTTGTATTTACTCTGTTCCCATGTTAAATTATTCAACTACCATCGGAACGAGCTTTTGGTTCTTTTGCAGTTACCAACTGGTAGAAAAAGGTATACAGGTGGTCTCATGATTTTCTGCCTGTGAAACTGACAGAAAAGTAGGAATGCATCCAATTGCTCTATAGATTTATTACTATACTAGTAAGTGTGGGAAAAGTAACCATCCCAGAGCCTGGCTGTGGGGATGATTTTATCCCCTCATAACTCCTTAACACGGGAAGTACGAATGGCGAACGGACTCACTGGGGTAGGGAGGAAGGCCATCTCTCTTCTTTTCTCACCCAGTGCACGTAGATCTCAGGATGTACTTATACCAAAATTAAATTGTCTTGGTTCCCCTGACCCTTCTCTGCCAAGGATGCCTAGGGAGCTCTGCCTTCTGTGAAGGGGCTAGGTGGCTTCTAAGCACCATCAACAAGAAGTTTCCAGGATGTCTTCACAGGAAGCCATGACAAGTTGGCGTGAAGTACATTGAGCTTATATACATGGCCTCCGTTTTTACAATGGATACCCTGATAGTTCAAGTTACACAAAAGCGTAATGCACTTACCCTACGGAATGATACCACATAAAATGTATCTCCCCTCCTGTGAATTTCATCAAAGAAGTCTTGGTAATTCCGTGGTGAAGTGTAATAAACCTGCAGTTCGTTCCCAGAGTTCTTGCTGAAATATATTGGAAGACAACATTGGAACTGATAAGGATACGTGCCAGACGCCAAATGTAAGAAACTGAGGCCAGCACAATCGAAAATGATTTGCTGTCAGTTGGGAAGCAGCCAAATTTACAGAGGGCCACTGAATTATTCTAGTGTGAAAACCTAATCAGAGATTTAAAGAACTCCAAACTGGATGAATAAGCAACACAATGGTAAATGGGAGTACAGGAAATGGCAGGGATGCTGGGTGGCCACAATGGTAAATGGGAGTACAGGAAATGGGTGGTGACTGGGTACTACCACAGAACTTTCCAAGGTCCCAAGGAACCTAAAGGAACATGGGCATGAACATCTGTTCCTTCACACATGTAATATGCTATACCTATTCAAATTTCTGTAATCCTAAATACAATAATGTCCCTTCATATGTATTGTATCGATTTACACGTAATCTGCTTTAAGTCTCAATGAGAAAGGTGAACTATAAATACAGTGAATAAACAAATGAGATTCACTGTAGAATTAGGGCAAAAACACCTAACTTCACAGATAGTCTGGCAATGACTAACCAGGGAAAAGAGATCTTAGGGTTATGGTGCATATTTCGATGAAAAGTCAAACAGGTAACTTCAGTGCAGGGCAGAGATTGAAAATAAAAAATGTCCAGTTATCATAATGCCTTTCCATAAACCTATGACTTGGCTGTATCTGAGAGATTACATACATTTCTGCTCACTCCATCTTCAAAAAGGGCATCATCATGACATTGATAAAAGATGAAGGAAAGGGTAAACAAAACGATTAAGGTGTTGAAGCCCTTTTCCCTTAACCAAAGAAGAGGCTTTTTAATTCAGAAGAAAGATGACCAGGGAAGGGGGGGGGGTTTGATAAAAATTTAGAAAATACAGCTAGACTTAGAGAGCGGATGAAGACCGCCTCCCCCTTTTGCTATACTTAGAATGCAGGGTCACCCAATGAAATTGACTGATTATAACTTCAAAATGAACAAAAGACTTAGCGTCACAAGGCTATAAAGAAAGCCACTAGATTACATGCCTTTTAAAAAATAAAACTCCAGAACAAATTCAGAGAAGAGAAATCTATCACAGCTATTACCTAGGTTTGCTAAGTGGAGCCCCAATGTTCAGTGTAGTTCTGAATAGCAGTCATTGAGAAGCCAAGCAATCAGGCAAGGCTTTAGCCTGCGTTTCAGAGAAGCATCTGGGCTGGCCTCTACTCAAAACAGGATACTGAGCTACACAGGACAATTGGTTTAATCCACCAAGGCTCCAATATTCTTACATAAGAAGAGAAGAAGAAATTGGATTGTTACCCCGCCCTTCACTCGGAGTCTCAGAGCGGCTTACAAACTCATTTCCCTTCCTCTCCCCACAACAGACACCCTGTGAGGTGGGTAGGCCTGAGAGAGCTCTGACAGAAACTGCTCTTTTTCAAGAACAGCTCTGACAGAACTATGGCTTGCCCAAGGTCATCCAGCAGCTGCAAGTGGAAGAGTGGGGAATCAAACCCGGTTCTCCCAGATTAGAGTCCACGCACTTAACCACTACACCAAACTGACCATCCAGTTAGGAAGAAGCAGCCGGTCTGAATGGCCAGTCCTCCACCGGTGAGAAACAGAAGGGTACCAACAGGATTAAAATGCCTTTTTGAGGAATGATTTATATCGTAAAAGCAGTGCTGGGTTCAGGAGAGACTTGTCGATTTCCTTCTCCACAGAAACTGTTGGAAATGGATCTAATGGGACCGTTTTGAAGAATGGGCTGACAAATACTAGAAGAACAACTTGCTGATTAAGATCCCATCTTAATCTTAGATAGGGGCTCTGGGGCAAGTGATGCTCTGTCTTCTTGGTGCTTGGGGGGGGGCAACAGTGGGAGGGCTTCTAATGTCTTGGCCCCACTGGTGGACCTCCTGATGGCACCTGGTATTTTTGGCCACTGTGTGACAGAGTGTTGGACTGGATGGGCCTTTGGCCTGATCCAACATTGGCGTCTCTTATGTTCTTATGTTCTTAATGTGGCAGACGTAGGGAATAGCCATCAGTTCAGAGTTTGCATTTTGTCCTAAAGAGTTCTTTTTGAAAGAGAGAGAAAGAGAGAGAGAGAGAAATATCACACAGAGGGAAATGAGTCATTGCTGAATTCAACCTGATCTGGTTGTGGTGTGCAAACATTCCTAGAAGTATCCTCTGAATGCTCCCACTGAGGTATACAAATCATCAACAGTTTGGTGATCGAACTGTATTTTGTTTTGTTTTTTCCTAACAATTCTGGCTACAGCACTAGCAAAGGAAGGGAAGTAACCACGTGATCCAAACATCCTAACATGATGCAGAACTTCAGAGAAGTACACCTGTGATGCGGGCTTCCAACCAGTGGGGAGCAGAACCCCAAACCACAATGGCGATGTGCAAATCAGGCCTCAGCTTCCCAAATACAGGCGGTTGTTTGGGACAGAGAGAGGAACCCCACCAGGCTAGCATCGGGGCAGGCAATGGAAGACCTAAGCCAGCTCCCCAGGAGCTTCACTTCTGGATCCTCAGCCTAGCCCCTGGTTGCAAGAATCAGGAGTCACCACTACACAGACCCCGCCCACCTACTTACAAGATGGAATCAGACACCATAAACCTACCTGAATGGCTGGAGCTTTCTGCTGCTGGCTACTGGACACCTTCCTCGATCTCGTCCTTTCAGCTTCATGTCTGTGAACCCAGCCTCGCAGCTCATGACTTAACCTGCAAATGCAAACTCTAGAGGTAAGCTTAGTTTACTAGACTGAGGGTGAGATTCAAACAGCCTTCCCTATGATGGCAAAACCCCTGCAATGAGAGACAACAAAAATTCAGATGGACATTCTCAGACCAGGTGCCCGGTGCAACCCAGAGGCTACAGTCTCAAGACAGATTTCATGCACTCAAAGTGAAGCTGTCCTTGTCAAGATCAGTAGTGTCTCCCCTTTGACAGGCAGTGGCTCCCCAGGGTCTCAGGTCATGTCCTTTTAACGGAAGATGCTGGGGGTTGAACCTGGGACCTTTCGCATGCCAAGCAGATGCTCCACCGCTGAGCCATGGTCCCTCCGCCTCTCAGCGATCCTGCTACCACGTACCGATGCTGATTATCGGAATTCCCTGATTTTTAAAAATGAGCTGTCTGGGCCCAAATAAGCTAAAGAAAGAATGCGAAAAGCAGCAGTGTTCCAATTCAGCTTTGCGTATTACAAAATTCTTAGGGCTGGCATTAACTCCATCACAGGTGGCTTCACAGCACCTGGAAATATCAGCTGCCCATCAATAAGCAGGGCTTGTAGCTCAGTTCAACCTGTGCCTTCTTCAGTAAACATGCTGGTTCCTTGATGCAGGTGTTACGATGCTAGCACCAGGTCCTTAGGAGTCCGTTTAAGGCCTCTGGCCCTTTAGACTTCTTCCTTTGTCCACTTCATTATGAGACATAATTGGCCATTCAGAACTCAGAAGACGGGGGGGGGGGACTTTTTAAATCACAGCTATAACAACTTCTTGAATGCCATTGCCCTAAGATACTGAGAATTGGGGAATAGTTGGTTGAACGATAAACTAAGAACCTCCTTATGCTCTCAAAGGAACCAAGCACAGATAGTAAAGGCTCTGGGAATGGGCACCTTGGAAAGGTTGTGCTTGGGGGGGGGAGGGGGAGGAGGAAGAGGAAGAGGAAGAAGAAGAGGAAGAAGAGGAAGAAGAAGAGGAAGAAGAGGAAGAAGAAGAGGAAGAAGAGGAAGAAGAAGAGGAAGAAGAGGAAGAAGAAGAGGAAGAAGAGGAAGAAGAAGAGGAAGAAGAGGAAGAAGAAGAGGAAGAAGAGGAAGAAGAAGAGGAAGAAGAGGAAGAAGAAGAGGAAGAAGAGGAAGAAGAAGAGGAAGAAGAGGAAGAAGAAGAGGAAGAAGAGGAAGAAGAAGAGGAAGAAGAGGAAGAAGAAGAGGAAGAAGAGGAAGAAGAAGAGGAAGAAGAGGAAGAAGAAGAGGAAGAAGAGGAAGAAGAAGAGGAAGAAGAGGAAGAAGAAGAGGAAGAAGAGGAAGAAGAAGAGGAAGAAGAGGAGGAGGAGGAGGAGGAGATTGGATTTATACCCCGCCCTTCACTACCCGAACATGTCTTAGAGTGGCTTACAAACGCCTCTCCCTTCCCCTCCCCACAACAGATACCCTGTGAGGTAGGTGGGGCTCAGAGAGCTCTTGACAGACACTGCTCTTTTTCAAGGACAGCTCTTATCAGAACTACGGCTTGCCCAAGGTCATCCAGCCAGGTGCAAGTGGAGGAGTGGGGAATCAAACCCGGTTCTTCCAGATTAGAGTCCGCACACTTAAAGGACCAAAGGACATGGGCTAGTCACACACACCAAACAAGCTGCTTACCTGAGGGACTCTGTGCGGTTGATGGACGGCTGGCAGGGTGGAGGAGAAATGTATATTATCGGCTCCTCGGTCACGACCATCAACGCTTTGTTATCTGAAACCGAACGCTTATACCTAGAAGCAAAAACACGCAGAGGAGATGGGAGCTAAGAGAGATGCCTCCACAGATTCCACTGGTGAACTGTCAGAAGCCTGGAAATGAACAGCCATGTCAATACAGGGGCTGCTCAAGGTAATTGTCCCCCTGTGATCCATGAAAAAGGAAGTAAATGCAGTGATCCTCTCTCTCCAACAAGGGGATGAACTGCAAATACCCTGAGTCAGAGCAAGCAAACTGGGGATTAACACTGCAAAAAAAAAAGGGGGTTAACATGGCGAAGAAGCCCCCTAAGTTTTTAATATGCCAGGTTTCTGATCAGTTTTAATTTACTTGTTTTACTGTAAACCACTTTGAACAGTGAGAAAAAAATGTTATATAAATATTGTAAATAAATAAATAGAGGGATGTGGGTACCAGACTCAGCCAAGTAATCTATGTGATCAGAATTAAAACATGCATATTAACAAGTGCTGTAGGAAGATCTATGTTTTATTTCAATTAACAGGAAAACAGGTAGACCAAATAGTCCATCCAAAATTGACTGCTTTCTTCTCAGCATATTCAGGAGATATGCTTCAATTAACAGGAAAAAAATTGGACCAAATAACTCATCAAAAATTGACAACTTTCTTCTTTTTCTTCTTCATCTTCTTCTTCTTGAACATATTCTGAACATATTCAGGAAATACATGATATTTTATACATGGATTGACATCATCAAGAAAACAATATTCAAAAAGCATAACTGGTTACAAAAGACAGTGGTCATTTGAATAATAAGCCTCTGATTTGTCAGATGTAAAGAAACATATATCTACGTCAAATCAACGTAAAACCTAAGTGTTTACTTAACCTAACCTAAATGATAATGGGCAAGGATTCTTCATATCCCAAACAAAAGTATTTTTTACTGATACGAGACTAAAATCTTCTCTGACCCAGACATTGCAAGGTTTTGCCCTTAAGAACTACAGAATCGTGAACTTTGTACCTATTATGTTATCTACTAACAATATCAGACCTACAAGAGGAAAGCCTTCTATATAACAGGCCTTTCTAACATCCTAATAAAATATTACTTAAAAGAGAAATCCATAAAGCCAAGGAAAAATATGAATATGAACAATCAAGAAGGAAAAAACCTATATTAAAAAATTTTTATCTTCCCATTCATACTACACAAGCTTGCTTTGTGTAATTCATTCTATCCTGCTTAAAGAATTGGGAACTTTCTGCCCACAGAAGGAGGGACGGGTGAGTAGGGTTGCCAAATCTGGTTTGGAAAACACCTGGAGACTTTGGGGGTGGAGCCAGGAGAGGGTGGGGAGGGGAGGGGCCTCAGCCTGGTACAGTGCCATAGAGTCTCCCCTTCAAAGCAGCCATTTTCTCCAGGGGAGCTGATCTCTGTCAGCTGGAGATCAGTTGTAAAAGCGGGAGATCCCCAGGCCCCACCTGGAGGCTGGCAACCCTATGGGTGAGGCAAATGGCTGTAGGGGCAAGGGGAGAGAAAGAATGCCCTGGCCAGACCTACTAGGGCTTCCGGGACCCTTCCAAGAGGAAGGGCTGTTTTGTTCTTTCGCACAATAGATGGTTCAGTAGTGACTTGAGGGCAACATGTGTCACTGCCCTGCAGGGAGACCGCCTTTTCACGGCTCTTGGAAACTGCCAACCATCTGACATCACATCCCTTGTTATCTTTGCTCCTTCCCATTCCTCGCTAACTAGTAAAACTTAAGACTGGACACGTCTTGGGGGAAATCACCTGTCCTTGGTACACTGATGTAGATCAATAATATATACTTCACTGCTGGGTGAAGATGTTTTTCAGGGAGTTGGATCCCCCAAACTTGCACAACAAGTGATTTCCAGGAAATCACAGGCACAAGTTGGAAAAGGTTTTAATGATTTTCAGTTTAATGAAAAGATGCACACTTTTCATAATCCCACTTTTTCTCCCCCAAAACAACTTAGAACATGGTTCTCTCCAACTTTGTTTCCTCAGAATAACAATCCTGGGAGGCAAGTTAAGCTGAGAGAAGGTGACTGGCCCAAGGTCACCCAGCAAGCTTTAACAGAAGAAGTGAGGGTTCGAAACCAGGTCTCCCAGGATCCTCCACCATCCCCTGCGCCACGCCCATATGCACAGTGCTTGCAATAATCACAGTAGTAAACATGCATGAACAAGCACAAAACCAAAATCCAAATCAGGACCTTCATTGTGTTGATTCCTGCTATGGTTAATTGCTACTTCTTGCGGTAGTCTTTGCACCACTGCCTGCACAAGTGGAAACGCTCTAAGTACATTTCCCTTCCATCTCACAAATTGCTTTTGAAAAAGATCAAAAACGGAAAAAGATGTTTAGAAACCTTCATCCTAAAGAGGCAGAGGAAAATGAGATTGCCTAGAGAGAACGAAAAAGGGCAAAGAATAAGAGGCCAAGGATAAGACTGACAGCCCCCCTACAGGCAGTGGGGGGGAAGAGAAGAAAGGGCCAGGAGGCGGGAGAGCAGGGTGTCGCAGAAGCTCAGGGACTGTGTGGATGCTATTAAATGTGGCCAGAAAGCAGCTCTTGGAGCCTGGGGAAGAGCAAGCTCAGTGGAATGGAATGTGAATAAGAGGCAGAGCAGAAGAAGTGTGTCTGCGGAGGGGGGGAATCAGGAAGGAACCGTAGGACTAGAAGTGGTGGCCACAGGTATGTACCAAAGACTTCAGGCCAAACCAATGCTCATTTATCAGAAGCACGTACGAGGAGTAGGGTGGAGGATATGGAGAGACAAGACGGATGGAGATGTGGCCATGGAAGGAAGGAAGCAAGCAAGAGATTGGTGTACAGGCTGAAAGTGATAGACAGGGGAAAGCCAGCTCCCTCATGCTGTGTACCTTAGCCCAGGGAGAGGCGGGCAAGAAGGCAGACACAAGAACAGAACCAGGAGGGCTAATAGGAAGGTATCACAAAGCCAGCTGCAGGGATATAGTAGCATTAAACGGAAGGGGGGAGGACAGGAGAGGAGAGTCTGCTGCTCCACCGACCAAAAGTATCCATTGCACAGACCTTGAGCACAAACACACACACACGCAGTTGATGCTTCGAGATGAGACCACATCGGATTTTTGCTGCAAAGACATTACAAACACTCTTGTCTCCCTGCCTGCTTTCCACAACATTCTCCGCGACGTATGCTTTCGGCACATCTGTGGATGGCCATAAAAAGAAAAGGGGAAAAAACCTCTACTGGAAAGGAAAGACTCCAATCAGAGGGAACAAGCCATTAGCTGAAAAAGCCAAACACACAATCTGGAGACGATTAAAGCACGCATCTGCCCGCTGCCTAAAGTAAACCTCTGCAAATGGCCAAGAACATTAGCAGAGAAACAGTGTGACATTGTCCAGGCGGGCCCCAGACAGAGTAGACAGCAGCCGCAGGCTCACATGGAGCATCAGGACCAAATGTGCGCTCAGCGGAGTCCACCAAGGAAGAGATGCTGCTCCGTAAAATGCTCACACGGCCAGACAAAGCAAGAAGGTTCCATCCTCTGTTGGTACTCTAAGCTCGGCTGGAGCTTACTTTGAATTGCCAAGGGGGAGATGGAGATTATCATTGCAGCCACATTACAAAGCACCATAAGCATCCGTTTTAATATTCCTAGTAGCAGGTTTTTCTTTCTGGTGTCCCTCGTTTGACAAGAAGAAGAGGAAGAAGAAGAGGAAGAAGAGGAGGAAGAAGAGGAGGAGGAGGAGGAGATTGGATTTATACCCCGCCCTTCACCATCCAAGGGAATCTCAGAGCGGCTTACAAACTCCTTTCCCTTCCCCTCCCCACAACAGACACCCTGTGACGTAGGTGGGGCTGAGAGAGCTCTTGACAGAAAATGCTCTTTTTCAAGGACAGCTGTGCCAAACCTATGGCTTGCACAAGGTCACCCAGCAGGTGCAAGTGGAGGAGTGGAGAATCAAACCTGGTTCTCCCAGATTAGAGTCAGCGCACTTAACCACTACACCAAACAACTGATGCTGGCAGACAGAATGCACAAAACACACACCTGTAACATCGTAAGAGGCGATGGGTTATGTGGGCATAACTGTGGAAAGTGCATGCTTGTGAGAATGAGAGAGGATGTCTTGGGGCACAGCCGCTGGTCATATTAAAACAGACAACACAACCACCAGGCCACAGAAGTTCCCCACCTCCTCTTAAGAGATCCTCGTCTAGCTAGGACATTTTTACGTGACCCTTCCTCCAAAGAATTCCAAGTGGCATGCGCGTTCATCCATTCCTCACGTTAGTCCCGAAACAACCCTGGGAGGTAGACAGAGAGTGTGGCCTAAGATAAGCCAGTGAATTTCATGGCGGAGTAGGGACTAGAACGGAGGTTTCCCAGACCCTGACATACTAAGCATTACACCACAGTGGCTCGCCTGGGAGACAAGAAGCAAGATCCTTCTGAGTTCTGTATTTGGAGGTACAGAAGATGCTGCACACACCAACCATGCCCCTGCTCAATCCAAGCATTCTGGGGTCCTGTTCTAGAACCTCACTGCATTAAGGCTGGGGCCTAGCCTCGTGAGCTACTCTATGTGCTTGGGCCACAGAGCCATTTTCAGGCAAAAACCCCCAGCCCCAATTTTCCACTGCAAGAAACTGAGGAGTGGGAGGAAAAAAACGACCCCCACCTAGTGATGCTCTAGGAACGTCCCCCTCATCTCTATGTTAAAGTCTCTAGAGACTGGAAGGCAGCCTAGAATGTCATGCAGAAGCGACATTACGTCCTCCCTCAGCTCGGCCCTCCCCAGGCATCACCCTTCAAGTTGCCGAGCATTTGCTGAGGCAGTGCTGGAAAACCTTAGGGCAGAGTTGCCAACCTCCAGGTGGGTCCTGGAGATCCCTTGGAATTACATCTGATCTCCAGGTGACAGAGCTCTGCCCCCTGGAGAAAATGGCTTCTTCGGAAGGTGGAATCTATGACATTATATCTGACTAAGGCCCCACCCCGTACTCCACCACAAAATCTCCAGGAACTTCCCAACCTGGAGCTGGCAACCGTACCTCAGGGCCGTCCAGTCTGAACGCCCCTGAGCAACTGGGAAAGGCTTGGGAGCAGGTAAATAATTCACATTTATAGAGACCTGTCTATGGCCATCTCACGCTCTGCCGATCAATCCTGAACCTCTTGTGACCCCAACTTCTTACAGAACCATGGATAACCAGGTCATCATCGTCAAAGGGGAAACAAAAGACATTCTAATCGTACCATTTATGCGAGCATAAGGGCAAAAATATACGCATGAACAAAGGGTTGGATCCCGAAGAGCGCTTCCATGGGGGCGTGGACTTCTGCTCAGAAAGCATGATTTCCCTACCCACCCTGCAGGAACCTGAAATGACACCTACTGCTGAAGTGGGCATTTGAGGGGGGACATGTCAGCCTCCTGTAAGAGTGGGGAAACCACCCTTTGTGGGCAGAAGTTTTGCAACTACGGAAGCGGTAGCTGGAATCCAAGCCGTAAAGACGCTGGAGACCAGAAGTCAAAGAGAAGAGGTTTTTATGCTTACCCATCGTTCTTCCCGCCACCTGGGTCCTGATGTAAACTTGCTGAGAATTCCAGAAGATGCCTGCTCTGGTGAGAAGAGCCGGCTCGAGACCCAGCCGAGTTGAAACCCCACTCGAACCCACTGAAAGTAAGAGAGAAACGTCAGCTGGATCGCAAAGCTAGGAGCCTGTTACAGCAAAGGATCGAGGTTTATAAGATTATGCAGGTCGAGAAAGAAGTCCTTTTCTCCCTTTCTCACAATACAAGAACTTGTGGGCACTCCATGAAATTGCTGAGCGGTCGGGTTAGAACGGATAAAAGGAAGTACTTCTTCACCCAAAGAGTGATCCATGGAATTCACTGCCACAGGAGGTGGTGGTGGCTACAAGCGTGGACAGCTTTAAGAGGGAATTAGATAAGCATATAGAGCAGAGGTCCATCGGTGGCTAGTAGCCACAAGGTATAGATAGGAACTCACAGGCTGGGGGCAAAGGATGCACTGTATTTGGTGCTTGGGGGGGGGACAACAGTGGGAGGGCTTCTAGTGTCCTGGCCCCACTGATGGACCTCCTGAGGGCACCTGGTGTTTTTGGCCACTGTGTGACAGAGTGTTGGACTAGATGGACCATTGGCCTGATCCAACACTGGCTTCTCTTATGTTCTCTTATGTATGTTCTTATGACTGTTATGTTTAGCCAGTACACCACTGCATGGTGTAGTGGTTAAAGTGTCACACTAGGATCTGGGAAACCCAGGTTCGAATCCTCACTCGTGCCACGGAAGCTCACTCGGTGACCTTGGGCCGGTCACACAATCCTTACGTATGTTCTTATGACTGTTATGTTTAGCCAGTACACCACTGCATGGTGTAGTGGTTAAAGTGTCACACTAGGATCTGGGAAACCCAGGTTCGAATCCTCACTCGTGCCACGGAAGCTCACTCAGTGACCTTGGGCCGGTCACACAGTCTCAGCCGGACCTAACCTCACAGGGTTGTTGTGAGGATAAAACAGAAGAGAGGAGAATGATGTAAGCCTCGTTGCTTAGTTGCAAGTGCTTCCAGTACTAATCTAAGGCAGCTTCCCCTCCCACCAGCGTGGTCATCCTTCACAGAGGCCACAAGATGCTGAGCTGGTTCTCTATTCACAGAATGGTGGTCGTGGTGGTGGTGGTGGGAAATGCTGTCAAGTCGCAGCTGATTCATGACGACCCCTCATGGGGTCTTCAAGGCAAGAGATGTTTAGAGGTGGCTTGCCATTGCCAGTCTCTCCATTGCAGCCCTGGACTTCCTTGGTGGTCTCCCACCTGAACACTTCACCAGGGCCAACTTGGCTTAGCTTCCGAGATCCTGGCGATCAGGCAGGCCTGGGCTCTCTAGGTCAGGGCATTCAGAACGGGCAATCCATCCTTAGCCAAGGCTGATCTAAAGTTTCAGCACAGCTTCTTTAGCAGACTGGCTAAAAGCACGAGCTGCAAAGTTTTGGGTTCAAATCACGTATCAGACAGGCACTTTAGGGGGGGGAATTACCATGCTCTCAACCCCATTTAGGAGCTGCGGTGGCTCAAGTGGTTAAGACGCTGAACTGCAGGCTGTGGAAGGTCGGTAGTTCAGCAGTTCGAGACCCAAGTGCGCCGCATGGCGGAGTGAGCTCCCGTCTCTCGTTCCAGCTCCTGCCAACCTAGCATTTCGAAAGCAAGAAATTGCAAGTAGATAAACAGGTACTACTTCGGTGGGAAGGTAACAGCGTTCCGTGCGCCTTGGTGTTTAGTCATGCCGGCCACATGACCACGGAAACGTCTTCGGACAGCGCTGGCTCTTCGGCTTTGAAACGGAGATGAGCACCGCAACCCTAGAGTCGGACTCGACTGGCTTTCGAGCAAGGGAACCTTTACCTTTACCTTTACCAACCCCATTTGCAGTAGAAGAATTATATCACTCTACACTACATGGTTGGAATGAGTACAGAAATGATGCAAATCGTGCTGAAAGTGCAAAATAAATGCTGCTTCTGGTTGTCTGAGGCAATGCTGTCTGTGTTCCCCACCTGAAATGTTCTAGATTTAGCAAAATTTTTCCCTTTTAGGAGTGCTCCCATGTGGTTTTGTGACTTTCATTAGTGTCTATTTGGATACATTTTAAAATGTTCTTACAGAGTAAAGGTAAAGGTAAAGGTTCCCTTGCTCGAAAGCCAGTCGAATCCGACTCTAGGGTTGCGGTGCTCATCTCCGTTTCAAAGCTGAAGAGCCAGCGCTGTCTGAAGACATTTCCGTGGTCATGTGGCCGGCATGACTAAACACCAAGACGCACGGAACGCTGTTACCTTCCCACCGAAGCGGTACCTATTTATCTACTTGCAATTTCTTGCTTTCAAACTGCTAGGTTGGTAGGAGCTGGAACTAGAGACGGGAGCTCACTCCGTCATGCGGCACCTGGGTCTCGAACTGCTGAACTACCGACCTTCCACAGCCTGAAGTTCAGTGTCTTCACCACTTGAGCCACTGCAGCTCCTTCTTACACAGTACTGATGCTATTTTAAGCATTTTGTGTTGTCTTGTACGCTTCTGTCGGCTAGCGTAGACCCTTTTGCATGAGCCTCTCTGAGCCTCTGGGTCTTCAGTCAGTGGCTTCACACACTGCACAAGATGATTCTGTGGTCTCATTTTCACAATGCCTTCTATTCTCACTCAGTAAATTATACGGGGTGTGGGATCTGGGTTGCTATGCGGTCTTGTCACCCTAGAGCCAAACCCCCACCCCCAAGAAACATACACAAACAGACTTAGGCTCTTTTAAGAAGTATAGCAAACAAACTTGAAGAAAGAGACTGATCCTTCTTACTTACTGCCATCCCAAACTTTAACGTGGTGCGGACATTCTGCTGGCTCCAGGCATGGTTAGCCGATCAGGAGCCAGCCTGGGGAACAAGCACTCCCGCCCCTCCTAAGCGGTTCACCCTGCTTCCATTCCAGCATTAACCATGCATCAACACAAACCATTAACTCCCTCACAGACCATGATTGCAAAGCAAATCAGAAAGTCAGGGCTACACAAGATCCTGGGTTTGCATCAACCATGGCTAGTATCAGTGTACAAGTAAGACAGAACTGTTGGTAATACCACAGAGGGGAAAGGGGTGTGTGCCATGAATGTGCGTGTGCATGGGCTCAAGCAGTTAGGTAGGGATTTATTTATTTATCATATGGCACAGTTACACACAGAGGGCTGCGGTGGCTCAGAGGTTAAGATGCTGATCTGCAGACTGGAAGGTTGGTAGTTCAGCAGTTCGAGACCCTAGTGCCCCATGACGGAGTGAGCTCCTGTCTCTGGCCCCAGCTCCTGCCAACCTAGCAGTTTGAAAGCAAGAAATTGCAAGTTGATAAATAGGTACCACTTCAATGGGAAGGTAAGAGCATTCCGTGCGCCTTGGCATTTAGTCATGCTGGCCACATGACCACAGAGACGTCTTCGGACAGCGCTGGCTCGTCGGCTTGGAAACAGAGATGAGCACCGCCCCCAAGAGTCAGATTCAACTGGCTTTCGAGCAAGGGAAACCTTTACCTTTACCTTTACACACAGGAAGCATATAATAATATAAAACAGGGAACCAAGTTGATACAGCGGGTATGCAGACCGACTGGGCAATCCCGCTAAATACGAATATCTAAATTTTCAATCCACTCAGTCACAGCTGGGGGGAGTTCAGAGAGCTCCATCACGTCAAGCATGATGCTCACATTCCTGTGACAGATGGAAAATAGTTTTGGTGGGCTGCGCCACAATCGCATTTGCGTCCTGGTATTTTGCCCCATTTAAACAACAGGTCTGCCCAACTGCCAAAGCCTGTTCATATTCTGTTAGCCGTCTTCCATACTTTATGTGGCAAGTCAAATCCTGCAGGCCTCTTGTTGGTGTTTATCAGGTTATGGATATCGGGTGGAACTGACTGCACCACACCTTTAAAAGGATATTATAGCTTTGGAAAAAGTGCAGAAAAGGGCAACTCGAATGATAAAAGGGTTGGAACACTTTCCCTATGAGGAAAGGTTAAAGCACTTAGGGCTCTTTAGCTTGGAGAAAAGACGACTGAGGGGTGACATGATCGAGGTTTATAAGATTATGCATGGGAAAGAGCAGGTAAAGAAAGAGGTACTTTTCTCCCTTTCTCACAATACAAGAACTCGTGGGCTTTCGAGCAAGGGAACCTTTACCTTTACCTTTACCAACCCCATTTGCAGTAGAAGAATTATATCACTCTACACTACATGGTTGGAATGAGTACAGAAATGATGCAAATCGTGCTGAAAGTGCAAAATAAATGCTGCTTCTGGTTGTCTGAGGCAATGCTGTCTGTGTTCCCCACCTGAAATGTTCTAGATTTAGCAAAATTTTTCCCTTTTAGGAGTGCTCCCATGTGGTTTTGTGACTTTCATTAGTGTCTATTTGGATACATTTTAAAATGTTCTTACAGAGTAAAGGTAAAGGTAAAGGTTCCCTTGCTCGAAAGCCAGTCGAATCCGACTCTAGGGTTGCGGTGCTCATCTCCGTTTCAAAGCTGAAGAGCCAGCGCTGTCTGAAGACATTTCCGTGGTCATGTGGCCGGCATGACTAAACACCAAGACGCACGGAACGCTGTTACCTTCCCACCGAAGCGGTACCTATTTATCTACTTGCAATTTCTTGCTTTCAAACTGCTAGGTTGGTAGGAGCTGGAACTAGAGACGGGAGCTCACTCCGTCATGCGGCACCTGGGTCTCGAACTGCTGAACTACCGACCTTCCACAGCCTGAAGTTCAGTGTCTTCACCACTTGAGCCACCGCAGCTCCTTCTTACAGAGTACTGATGCTATTTTAAGCATTTTGTGTTGTCTTGTACGCTTCTGTCGGCTAGCGTAGACCCTTTTGCATGAGCCTCTCTGAGCCTCTGGGTCTTCAGTCAGTGGCTTCAGTACTGATGCTATTTTAAGCATTTTGTGTTGTCTTGTACGCTTCTGTCGGCTAGCGTAGACCCTTTTGCATGAGCCTCTCTGAGCCTCTGGGTCTTCAGTCAGTGGCTTCACACACTGCACAAGATGATTCTGTGGTCTCATTTTCACAATGCCTTCTATTCTCACTCAGTAAATTATACGGGGTGTGGGATCTGG